GCCTTCCTCCCCTGCAGACATTTGAACACTGTACTCGGATATGAAGCCTGAGCGCTGATAGCCGTGCGCCGACGCCATGGAGTAACAGCGGGGAGGGAATGGGCCCAGTGCAGCCACGGTGTTCCTAACCAGTGTGATTTTAGGCACCGTCACACAGGTTGGCAGCCAGATCGTATCACTCCCTTCGTCCAAACCGTTTTAGGCCGGTGAATAAGGAACAGCCAACGCAGCGTCAGAGCAGCACGTCACAACACAATTCGCCTGTGCGCTATTGTAGCACGTTTCTGTAACTTGGTTAGAACGTACTCTGGTCCTTCCAGAAGAGATACGAGCAAACGCGCTCCAGCGCGCGGCCCTGACTGGGGAAATCTTGCTGCGGAGATGGAATGTCAACGGGAAAAGAAATCTTTCAATAGACTGACGAGAGAAAGAGGCCACGATTTTCAAAAGTGGATGTCTAAAGTTAAGCTCTGACATTCATCCTGTTATCCAAGAGATGGTCGGGATATGGGTCACACATCTCTGAAACTGGGTGTGAACACATCTTTCAACTAGCCCAACTATCAGGATAAATTAATCACAGCCCCCCACCCCAGCCCCTAACCTAAGCCAAAAGGGGTTGTGAACCCACCCAGGAGTTTTGGACCGAGGGGGAGGAGGAGTCTGTTTAGGTCAGGACGTTGGGAGGGAGAAAGCCAACCAAGCTGCAGCCTGCGGCACGGTTTGGTGTCTGACCCTGGGAAAAGCTAGAGACTGCTTTTGGGTCTGGTGCTGCCTACAGAGGCTGGAGGCTGTTGGCTAAGAAACTGCTCCTTCTGCCTCCTGCATTCAGAGACCATTTGTACCTTCCTTGTAAATAAACAAGGCTGTGTCAAAGAAAATCTCAGCCTGACAGACTCCATTATCAATACCTACCTTCCAGCGGGAACACCCCCAGGGCCCGGCACTTTGACTGGCCGCGCAGGTCACAAAGGGCAATAGTTAGGCAATGAATAAATACCCCGATTTTCCAGAGTGCCGAGCACACGACAACACCTGCGGACTCCAATGGGAGCGGCTGGGCGCTCAGCACGTGGAGAATCAGGCCACTTATTTGTTGCCTACGTATGAAGGTAGGAACCCAGCTTTAGGCACCGACTCTTGAAAATCTCCGCACGTGATTTAGTTCTGCCCCTCGGCGCCAGCTGGGATATCGTTACCTTGGGGACCTCCCCCCTAGCGCCTGGGGGGAGTCTCAGGATCCAGAAGTTCCTGTTCTTCAGCAGGTTCTCCATGTTCTCCAGCCTCCTCTGCAGCCGTCCGTACCCCTGGATCAGAGTCCCCAGCGCGGCCCACTTACTCTCCAGCTGGCTTTCAAATTGCATCACTGTTTTCTCACAATCGACTAATTTCTTCTCTGCTGTTCCCACTCTCCTCTCCAGAGTCAGCAACCGCGTGGCATGGGAATCCACCGTCCTGTCCACAGCTTGGATTGCAGCTACTGCAGGCCACATGGAAAGCTTTGCCGGTTGCAGCTGGCTCTCTCTCTCAGAAGTCTGTCTGGGGTCAGAGCGGGATTGGAAAGGCATCGGGCGCTTTGACTCCGGGTCCCACTCTGGAGCCTGTTTGCAAGGACAGGAACGTAAGTGGAGCTGGGGGACTCGTTATTCCACAAACAAAACTCCACTGAAAAGGGACTGAGGTAGAGCAAGTGTGAGAAGCCCCAGAGAGCCAGCCCTGAAAAGCCAGGAAAGGCCGGAGCAGCGCTTCCCAACCCCTTTGGTCCAGGACCCATTGGTAAAAGTTGACGGCCTGTTGCAGCCCAGTAAATAGGCCCCGGGGGGGGGGGGGGGGGGGGGGGGAGATGTTGAGAACTGCCCCAGGAAGGGGGCTCAGGGCCTGTGGATGGACGTGCAGAGCCCACCCCACACTCACCCTGCAGCAGCAGCTCCTGTCCTGCTCAGCACCCTGCTCCAGGTGTCCTGACCTCCAGGGTCGCAGCGCCACTCAGGTTTGGCCCTGCCCCACTACAGGGGGCCAACTGGTCCAAAGCTGTGGGAGTGGCCTTGTGACCTGGCTGGGCCAAACCCGAGCGGCACTGTGACCCCGAAAATCACAGTGCCCAGAGTGGGGAGTCGAGCCCAACCTGCCTCACGAGACTGAAGCTGCAGGAGCCGCCGCGTGGCCCTTTGAAACATTCTGGCCCTCCAACTTTGGGAAACCCTGGACTAGAGCATTGTCCGCTAACGCTCCAGCTCTGGCTGGTTTGGGGGACTGTGCGCTAGGTCACATCTCCCTGCCGGTCTCAGCTGTAGAGGACTTTCCGCCCCAAGCTCTGCTTCCACTCACCAGTGCTGATGGGGATCTGGGTCCGCTGGAGACGGAGATACAATAACACTATGAATCGGGTGTAAAGCCGTGACAGTTCCAGCTGCCTCTCCTGACTGAAACGGGCACTTTCAAGGTTTCTATACTAAATATTCCACCTGAGATCTTCCTGCTGCTGCCTGAAACCCATCCCCACCCACATAGGGCCGTGCAGCCAAGATGGAGGTAACGCTGACAATCTGAAGGCCGGATCCTGGGAAGAGCCGAGCACCTCCGGAAAGGTGGAGCTCAGGAGATATGCAGCACCTTGTCGCAGAATCAGGTCTTGCCGTAAGACACAGCACAACGAAATGTGGCAACGAGTATTTGGAATTGTGTGTGTCTTGTGGTAATAGCTAAGAGACCCAGACATGGCCCAGACCCCTCTGTGCCCGGTGCTGTTCAAATACAATATGATCAAACTGTTCTGTGTTTGCAGGGCGCCTGGCACAGAGGGGTCCTGGGCCCTGACGGGGGCTCTTAGCCATTACCACAAAACACACAAATAATGTTTTCAATTAATGTTATCTGCTTTGTCTTCCCTTCCCTGCCTGCCCTGCTCACCCCCACTCCAAATACTTGTTACTCTGTGGGACGAGGGAGGGGTTGCTATAGGACTGGGGCCCTAAGAAGTAGAACAGGGGTTCTCAAACTGGGGGTTACGACCCCTCAGGGGGTCGTGAGGTTATTATGTGGGGGGGGGGGTTCACCAGCTGTCAGCCTCTACCCCAAACCCCGCTTTGCCTCCAGCATTTATAATGGTATTAAATATATAAAAAAGTGTTTTTAATTTATAAGGGGGGGGTCGCACGCAGAGGCTTGCTCTGTGAAATGGGTCACCAGTACAAAAGTTTGAGAACCACTGAAGTAGAGTATACACCTTGCTCCCTAGCTCAGGGATGAGCAGTTTTACACCCCATCCATTGCTCTCGGCCCTGCTGCCATTAAATACACCCCATTGCTGACAGGCTCCGGCAGCCTGGACTGACTTCCCAGGCCTCCGTGTGTGGGGGGCCTGAATGGAGAGACCTTGCCCCGCTTCCCAGAGGTGCCTGACACCGGGACCCACACACTGAGGTGCAGAAGGTCAGCGAAGGCCTCTGGCAATGCTGGGCCAGGGTACAGGGCGCTTCTCTCCAGCTCCAACCGACAATCAGACCCCAAACCGCCAGGCCGGAGGGGCTGGAGACACAGTTTCCAAGCCCTGCCCCGGACAGCAGGCCCCAGCCCCCCGGGGAACTCAGAGCTACGGCCCCAAAGCCAGGATCAGTTTAACTCCGCTCCCCGTTCACACACCCCGGGGAGGAGAAACGGGCCGGGATCGCCCCGCCCCGGGGCTCA